CCTTTATTCTCCAGCTCAGGGAGGATGTCTATTTAATTATGTCATTTCTTTGTATTTATTTTCCTTACACAACTTTTAAAACCAATCAGGCAGTGCTGTAATTTTGTTACATATAGCATCATAATGTTTTGCATTGTTACGGATAATACTGTAGTGATATGCATTGTTACACATAATACCGTAACATTATGCTTTGTTAGAGGTAATCATGTAGCATTGTCATAAATAACAGTCTCGTAGTTGTCTTTAGGACAAATCTTTGTACTATTCTATTAAAACTTTAAACTGTTTAGCTCTAGGTCCCTTTGTTTTTATATGCATTTTATAAAAAACAAAGGTGAATGAACCAAGTTTTACCAACTGGTTGGCCTATTAATTAATGACATATCAGAATATACCAAATATTTGACAAATTTCAAAAGGGCACTTCAACTACTATTGGAGTTAAATATAGGCCTTAATATTTGTACTAATAATATATTCTGTAATTTTGTAGATTTTGAAGTATATACAAAAAAATGTACTCGAGTTGAGTATTTATTTTAAATATGTATTTCTGTAATAGTATGTGGTTTGTTCTCAGCAAATGGTTCTTCAAGATATTTTATACTATATTAGCGATAATGGTTAAGAATGCACTAAGTAACAAAGCGGGGGTAGGAATTGTTGCACATCTTGTGAGGTGTTTCAAACTGGAGTCAGGTTAATCAGTTTTTGGCAGCCGCAAAGATAACTATAGTTATTAATACTGTCATCAAAACTCAGTCTCTGTAGTAGCAAGGAACATGAAAAACGAAAAAATCCAACATTAACATGAACACATGATTGAAAAGCAACGCAAAATATATTTCGAAATGTAAAAATATTGCATGTAGACAAAAACTAAAAAAAAAAAAGACATTTGGAATCATTAAGATTCAAAGAATTAAAGCCTAACATAATTAAAACATCACGAACACCTTTCTATTTGTAAGAAATTATTCACATAAATAAATGAAACAACAAGAACACCTTTCTATTTGTCAGAAGTTACTTACATAAATAAATAAAACACCAGAAACACCGTTCTATTACAATTACATATAACTTGAGTTGCAACTAGTATAAGATTCTTTGGTTGAATGCATACGAATTTATTTGTCCTTTGAAACTTGCATTGTGATCATGTTTCACTGTTAGGAACGACATGTTGCACACAAATAAATATACTATCCCACCTATAGCTGTTTTAGAAACTTTATATGTGAAACTGAAGAAAACTTACAGCTTTCTGTTCAGACCATAAATAGTAGATTTATTCAATGTTTCGTATCTTTTATCTTGCTTATTTAATATTGCAATAAAATGATTCATTTTCAACACTTCTTTTCCTAAGAATAACAGACGGTAATGATAAGTGCTAAAATAATATCAATAATATAATAAAACAATATCAAAAAAATAGAAGATCCAAAAAGGGTGAAAAATTAGAGTTAAATTTTAAAATAGAATATAATTATCGTTTTCAAATTCAGCGTTCATACCAAATTTATACGTTCACTTGTGGCTGAACTTGAGCTGTTCCAAGCTGTACGTAATGAATAATCATATGTAGTGAAGATAATGTATATTCTTCTTTCCACTGCGAATATATGATGTGATGTTAAGGTTTTGTCGAAAGGTAGGTTAAAGGTGTCAGAACAACAACAACAATAAAAACAAATGAAATATTTAAACCCCTTAATGTGAATATTTTTCTTCCCTGACCCGGCATGGCCAGTTGGCTAGGTCGCTTGACTTGCAATTTGAGGGTGATGGGAGTCGAATCCCCGTCCCACCCTTTCAACCGTGGGGGCGTTATAATGTGACGGTCAATCCTATTATTCGTTGGTAAAAAAGTAGCCCAAGAGTTGGCGGTGGATGGTGATGACTAGCTGCCTTCGCTCTGGTCTTATATTGATAAATTAGGGACGGCTAGCGCAGATAACCTTCGTGTAGCCTTTGGGCGAAATTCAAAACAAATCGATTTTTTCTTTCCTGAGCGAATATATGAGGTGGTGTTAAGGTTTTATCGAAAGGTAAGTTAAAGGTGTAATAAAAAGAGAAACGTATGAAATATTTAAACCATTGACGAAAATAGTTTAGATTAGGTTTAGAACTTTTCAGCGTCTTAGGAAAAACAAATACACTAAAAACACATACAACAAAATATGGAAAAGTATTTTTGAAACTGAAGGTATAATTTTTAATAGTAAGATACATACTAAACATATATTTAATTTTTTTCGAAGTTTTCAACGAGTTTCAACCTGAGCCTTTATGATATTTTTAACTTGATTTTACCGTATAGTACTTGCCCATCGGTTTTTAGTAAAATGATTATGAATACACCTTCTAGTACGATATTAAAATTAATCCACATTTATTAGAATTGTGTATATAATGAAGTAAAGTAGTGATCCAGAAGAATAACTTGTAAACACCTTACTTTGAGTTGTGATATTAAATGTTAATACGATTAGTACAGTAAAGTGTACTACTTGCCAGTTCATTAAAAAATACAATTACATCTTTATTCCATTATATGATTTTAACGCATTTAATTGATTCCCTTAAGTTATATAATGTTCCCGATACAACCTGTAAATTAAATTACTTTACCGAGCTTAAATTTTCCAAATTAAAGTTATCCAGGGAATTAGGCCTAAGAAATGTGACGAAGCATCATATTTTATCACATATGTTTTATTTCACAATTCTTTAGCCAGTAATTGCATATTTCGTATCAAAGGTGTTTAAATATATGTTTTCACATCTACCTTTCGCCTGCCACATGCCACTGTCTAAGAGGCCTTATCCATCATTTGTCTGTCACATGCCACAGTCCAGAAAGTTTTATCTATCTTTTGTCTATCACATATCCAGGAAGTATTATTTGCCACATGCCACAACCCAAAAGATCTTATCTATCTTCTGTCTATCACATGCCACTGTCCAGGGAGGCTTATCTATCTTTTGTTTGCCACATGCTACTCTCCAAGAAGCGTTATCCATCTTTTGTCTGCCACATGCCAATGTCCAAGGGGAATTATCAGCTAGACTGAACCTGGTGCATCTAAATTCCAATCTGGAATACTGTGATAAATATCATGATCAACTTAAACTGCTGTTTATCGCAATAATCTTAGTCGATCCATTATGTATTTAAACTCTGTTATATCACTGGCCATTGATTAGGAATAAAAAAAAAAGGCTTCTGCATTCTAACGAGATGTTTCTCACACTTGTTAAACCTAAAGCGTTTCGTGATTCGTTTTCTATAGGAATCACAACATTTCAAAGTTGTTAATTTTACGTCATACATTTAAAAGGAAGAAATAAACGAGCATACACAAATTTATCTGCTAGGTTTTCAATTCACCACTTGCTAAAGTATTGTGCAATTCTGTTCAGCCAGTTGATCAGGATTCCTGCACTTGAATAATAACTGGAAAGAAGTGCATAATGCTGAAATAAAATCCTGTTACTCTACTAGGAAATTGTTAATATTTTTATTGTCACCACAAAGATCGAGTTGTACTCGGTGATTTGCTACTTTGCTCTTCAAATGCTATTTTGTGCATTATTTTTGTATATTCAAGCTTGCTTATTTATTTTCTTCCTAAATTTCAGATTAAACAAATATTCGTTATCTTAAACTGGTTAAGTAATATCTCTCTGTGTTTATCAAACCTTTTTCGACCAGTCTTCCCTCTAGGGGCAATTAAACTCCCCTATGAATTCACCTGCAGGCGGAAGGCTTAAATTATATTCGTCGTGTTTCCATAGATCCTATATGGCTGAGGGGAATAATTATCTCAGCGGATCAATATCTGTGTCGATCGATGGATGAAGCCTGCTTTAACATCAAACAGAAATATGAAGATGTCCAAGTTTATTCTGTCTTACTGAAAACGAGCACTATGTTTCCATTTGCATTGCATTTACTTTAACATATACGCTACAGATTAATACCTAGGCACAACGCAGGACAACCAGGGTTTAACAGGACTACTTTGTATGATCTGCAGCATAATGTATGTAGTAATTCGGTTTCTTTACAGGCGATGTCATATTTTCTGAATGTTAATTTAAGGTGAATAATGATCTATGCCCGTTTTATGAATATGCTCTTATTACCTTATGATGTCCTGGAAAGATCGAGGCTATGATGTAAAATTCGCCTAAATACTTTTAATCTGCTTTATATTATTTCTTGAAGTTCAACTTTACAAACTGTTTGAGGATCGAACGTTCAAATCTAGTTGCGTTCTGCTATCCCCGTATAATTTTCTCTTCGCTGTTAACAGAAGCAACTCAGTTAAATAGTAGGACATTACGTTGCACTAAATCAGTTTTAAACTGTTTCCCCCGCTCATGTAACTTTAAACAAACGTAACATTCATCCTTCACCTTGCTATTTTCTTTGACATGAGATGTCGTATTACTCACTTAGTCTCTTCAAAATGAAGAGACTAAGTAAGTATTTCCAGTGTAGAATTAACTATAATTTAGTAAATCAGTCGATCGAATCTCACATAGCTCGGGCCCCCCAGTGGCACAGCGGTATGTCTACGGACTTACAACGCTAGAATCCGGGTTTCAATACCCGTTGTTGACAGAGCACAGATAGCCCAGGGTGTAGCTTTATGCTTAATTACAAATAAACAAACAAAGACATAGCTCGTGTATCTTCTGTATAACATATGACCCGGAAACGCAGGTGTCACCTTCAACAAGGTGACTGCCTTCCTAGAAGATGGATCAATAAAAAAAGGAAATTTTATATCAGGTTTTCACATTACATGAAATAGGATAGGTAAATGGGTTGTTCCTTCATTTAATGATAACTCAAACTGAAACATTGAATTTGCTATGTGTGATCATAAATAATATTCTTTGTTAGAGAATCTTATATCTTTGAAATATACAGTTAATTATAAACGTTTCCAACATAATCCTGTTTTGTTTTGTTTTTACAGGTGTTAAAGGTGCTACTCAAGGACTCAGTGGTGTAGGGCATGCAGTAGGACCATTGTTACATCACAATAGGTAAATGAAATTCCTCGTGGAAACAAACTTCCACCCTTTTTACGGTATTTTGAACAAGGTTCATTGTATTTGATCACTATTTCTCGTTGCTGTGGTGGCGATTAATAATCTTAATTCTTTTACCGTATTTCGAACAAGGTTCATTGTATTTAATCACTATTTCCCTTTGCTGTAGTGGCGATTAACAATATTAATTATTTTACCGTATTTAGAACAAGGTTCATTGTATTTAATCACTATTTCCCTTTGCTGTGGTGGCGATTAATAATCTTAATTCTTTTACCGTATTTCGAACAAGGTTTATTGTATTTAATCACTATTGCCCTTTGCTGTACTGGCGATTAATAATATTAATTCTTTTACCGTATTTAGAACAAGGTTCATAGAATTTAATCACTATTTCCCTTTGCTGTGGTGGCGATGATTAATCTTAATTTTTTTTACCGTATTTCGAACAAGGTTCGTTGTATTTAATCCCTATTTCCCTCTGCTGTGGTGGCGATTAATAGTCTCAATTGAAACTTATTGTGCTTCTTATTTTGACTGTTCGAATGCCACGAAGACTTCAAGGTCACATTCCATGGTATTCAAACATATCTCTCAGCTTTACATGACAACCAAATAGTATAATATTATTTTGTCTAATTACATAATCTTCCTTGCGGTGTAACTATTCTGTATACTTTTGTAACAAAAAATATGGTTATTATTAGATTTCTTGCGATCTTTCAAACTAACATATTGAGTGGCTCAGCGATAAGTTTTGACGCCAATTATGGACACAACACAGACACTCCCTTGAGTAGCTTTGCGCTTAACGATAAACAAGCAAACGACGAATGCCCATTTCTCGAAAATGTTAACCAACTTAATAGACATTCTGAAGTGTGACAACTCGGGAAATTAACAACTTTTTAAAACAATATTTGAATAAACAAAAATTTCGAGTACTTTTGAAGTGTGTTATATTTTTCATCCAAAGCAGGAAGATTGTTATAATTCTCTTCTGAAGCATCAAATTTTTTTTTGAAATTCATTAAGATAGATAACATATTTATCATAGTTTAGTTGCGTCCTATAAAGAGGGTTTTAACTCTTTAAGCGACGTTACCAGTTCCAACTATTACGAGAAAAAAAAAAGGTTTTTACATTAGAAGCATTTTTCTTAGAGGGTAGCCATCTTGTTAAGGGTTTAAAACAAAGTATATCTAATGTAGCAGGCATGTCTTATAGCACATAAATCTGTTACGTAATCAAAAACGTATTACACTCGATTTAATCCATCAACATTCCATTGTAATGAAAAAATAACTAATTGTACAAATGTTTTGCATTCTATCATGTTTTTCTTATAGGTCAGCAACGTTACATTTGTGCAAGTGAGAACAGTAATTTTCTGAATAAAATAATAATAATAATACAGTAAAATATGGACGTCTTTATTGTTCATGAAAGCCAGCAATCTAAATACAACACTGTTTTCACTGTCCCTGTGGGACTATCTGTGCAGAGCCTGCCGTTTTAATAGATGGCGTACAGATACTGGGAGTTGTTTCAGTAAAAATGGAATAAATTTGGTATGTTGTGTGTTTCCTTTGACATCACTGTTGCTATGGTAACCTTCCTTTCGTTGGAAGGCAGAGTTGCTTCTTACTAATTAGAGTGATTATCAACTTTATGTAACTTCCTTCCATGATGAGTTATGTAGAGAATACGGTTTCAAAATCTTCACGTGATCAAAATTTATTTCAAAGTATCTCGAACAAAATGGACATATGAGTTTTGTTTCAATAGTTTTAGCAAAACTAGTTATAAGCTGGATGAGTCACTCTAGTTGAACCACACACGATAACTTTGATCACACTTTCCACTGCTACAATACAAACCCACGTCACATTTAGGACTTTAGTCGGTACGGTTAATTGAACCGATAATCTCCTCGTAACCAGATTCAGTGTTACCTAGCAACGCCATAATTGAAATGAAAGGCACAGTTACGAATTATAATCATCCTAGAAATAAACTAAAAACTTTATATGCTGAGAGAGAAAATTTGTGTATATCGGGAAACATCAAACTAGTGTTAGTCGTATTTATAATAATGACTTAATAATGACATTATGACAGATTAAATGTCAACATACTCTCGTTTATAAATGTATCTATACCTCTACTTAATAACCCTATATGGGATTTTTTCAGCCTATCCAATTGCTCAAGAAGAGAGATCATTGTTTCAGAAGATTCGAAAGGTATTGGAAAGTCTTTGTCTGTACCATTTTTCATAGCAGTAATATATTGTTATTTTCTCTCCAACTGGATAATATCATTAAGTTAACTGTGACTCGGATATAAACTATTATCTATCTGTTTATCTATATACCTCTTTAAAAAGTTGTTGAAATTTATGTATTAAAACCTACAAATTTATTAATGAATTTAGTACTGACATTTTGTCAGGGGAAGACTAGTTTGATTCCCTCATCCACCTCCCACCCACCCACATATATATCTGTGTAGGTTTTTTTTTTTTTTTTATGTACACATATATATGTGTAATCTTGATGAAATGTTTACTTTTTAGTACTGTTTAGAATACGTCCATTACTCAGAATGGGTAGTTTTATCATGTACGTAAAATACAACTTAACTAGTGAAGTAGACCATAATTCAGTTTTCTGGTGATTATATGTACATTACGTACCACCTGTTTCATAAATGTATGTAACCTATGTGGTATATATATATATATATATAAGTTAATATTCGTAGTGTCAGGCCTAAAGTAAAAATATTTTCCTTGTTTTTTTTCAGCGATATCAAAGGCAGATTCAATTGTGAAGTAAGTATAAATTGTAATTTTGGTTATGTAAAAGTGCTATTGATATTTTACTACATTTCTATCCACCATTCGTATATCCCACTTAACCTAAATAGATTATAATGTTGGGTGAAACGTAGTGGCCATAATCTCGTTATAGCAATAACGTTAAATAAAAGTAGACAATATATACCACGACTCTCAATAAGGGCTTCAATTGTATGCTTTTGCCTTGCGTTTACATAACGCAGAACGGAAACTACGATCGATATTGAGGGTGTCCTCTCTCCATTTCTCGTTAAACATGTTACTTGTACCTTGTAGCGCTCAGGTTACCTGTTCACTTCATGCTAATTTGTTTGTAGAGTTTCTGCGGTTGGAGATGAGCTGAAAAAAAGTCCATGTGTGATTTTTCGATCTGTGTTGTTAACATAAACTCGCGCTTCTCTTCAGAATTACTAATATAATTATGATGTGTGTACGAACTTTTAGTTATGTAGATTTAGCAACTAACGCTATTGATATTTTGGTATTTTGGGCTAAACTAGTTTAATGAAAAATTGATTAGAGTTTTCTTTTTTAAAATTCACAGATGAACTTTTTTCTTTACACGCAACAAAATATAGCCTGAAGTAACTGGATGCTATTTGTTAATTTTTCTAACAGTAGCGCTATCTGGTGTAGCAAAACAGAACTGTTTATCAAGAAGATTGATTCAATGATTTACTTTTCTTCCCTTTAGATTTAGTCCATAGAACTGTATAAACATTTACATTCGTATATTACTAGTAAAATTTGCTGTTTTAATATAATCATGGCTATAAATCTGGGAGTTTCGTTTAATGTTTACCAGAAATAATAAACTGTTTAGTTGATTGTTCATGTAAGTTTCAATCTTGTTTTCATTTTAATAGTTAAACTACACTTTCTTCATGTGAGATGTATGATTTTTTCTCTTTGGCTAGATGTCCCACACCAGGGTGTACCGGTAGAGGTCATGTGAACAGTAGCAGAGCTTCACATCGTAGGTAAGATAGGGACGTTCTTTATATGAAGTTAATGTTGTGCTTTTTAATGTACAGAACACGTTTAATCGTATACTCTTTGAAGCTATTACTGAAGTCTTACTGGTTTTCTTATTATCAAGATAATACAATCAAATGGACCAAATCTGTAGTTAATTCATATATTAGACGTTGCTAAAGTAGTGTGAAAATTTTTTAGAGATTCCCAGTGGCACAGCGATAACTCTGTGGACTTATAACGCTAGAAACTGGGTTTCCTTGTACGTGGTGGGCACAACACAGACAGCCCATTGTGTAATTTTGTGCTTAATAACAAACAAACATTTCTTAGAATTCTACAGTGCTATTAGTTTGATTTGTTGCGTCTATGAAATAAAAAAACATTGTAATGTAAAATAACAGAAAAAAACATCAAAATAGGTAAATTATTGATTTTCCCATTTTATCTATGCTTTTAATATGCTACACATTTAATTCGTTTAAATTTTAAAGAAAAAACAACAACACATAGTTATAAATGATTAATTGCAGTGTATATTTTTAACGTTGTTCAAAGGGGTGCATCATTGTCACATATGATGCCCATTTGTTTCTGAACCAGACATAACTAATAAAAATTTGAGTTGTTCACATTCTAAGTACTCATATGTGTATAAAAGTGATCTTTTTTGGAAAAAAAAATATCGTCCCTTAAAGCTTATATAGTGTGGCGTTGCCATTAAAATGCAAAACCAGAGAAAATTGACACCCTTTTCAGAGTCATATCCTTACGTGGTACTCGTTGGAAATTTTAAAAAATCCAAAAGATCTCTGCTATTCACCAAGTAGGGTGAAGTATACACTGGACTGATACAAGGATACACAGTTCTATAACACATCAGGCAAGGCCCGAAACGAGTAAAAAGCACATTGAAATGGATGTTAGATATTTAAAATCAACTCTCTCGATATTCGAAGACGAATTGTGAAAAAAAAAAACTTTGTCAGATAAAATTTTAAGATGTGTAGTCTCAACAACACAGTAGGAATGCGGCCTTTGAAGAATAATAGCAGCAACAAGTCCCTTACTGCACAAAGAAAGTATAGCAAAGTGACTAGCTTTTGCGAAAGAACATGTATTGTACGTAGTCTTTGGAACAGTGGCACAGGATCCTTTGGATAGATGAGTCTAAATGTGAACCGTTTGGTTCCAATTGGTGGATATATGTTCGTCAAAGAGAGATTAAGAAAGAAGTGCCTTGTGCCAAGAGTCAAGAATGATAGTTTTCTGCGCAATATCTGTGAATGATGATGGCCATCTTCCAAGTGTTGATGGGATCATGAATCACCATAATTACCACACAATATTAGTTCATTACGCTTTGCGGCCCTGAAAATTGGGTTTCAATACACATGGTGAACACAACACAGACAGCTCATTGTGTAGCATTGTGCTTAACAAAAACCAAACAACAAATCAATCCGTCATGTTATACCCTCTGGAAAAAAGTTGATTGGGCAGAATTTCATATTACTAGAAAATAAAGACACCAAACACACTTTCAATAAAAGAAAGAACCCTCAGGATATCTCCAGTGAAAGGGAATGATCACCACAATGTCCAAACTTTAAACCCAGAGAACAAGCCTTGACAAATTTTCAATGAAAATTGAATAAAATTACACCAGAGACTTTGAAAACATTGGTAGGCATAATGCTACAAAGATGCCAACTGTGGCCACGATAAATATTTACAATAAAGAGCTATTTGTGTACTGATTGTATAGCAGTTTTGTGTAAAATCAATTAATTAACTACAAAAAACTACAAGATAAATTTTAAATTAAATTAATAGCTATGTGTATAAGCTAATAAAACGACAACTGTTGAGGTATTTTGCATATTTTGACACCAACACCTTTTTACTCTTCATTTATCTATTTCATTTGTAGCTACTGCAACTATTTTCCAATTACAGATACTGAAATAACACCGCGAAACCTTAACTTCATGATTAACATGTTTAAGCTTATCATTTCCGTGGCTTATGTCTGAAATGAAAGCCAAAAGGAGGCACATATGTTTTCTGAAATGAATTGCAAATATAATTTTTATTGGGATAAAGAAACAGAGCCAATATCTTTCTCAACTTGTTGTGGCTGTCAATTTATATTCTTTGTATTTAGTTAATTCTATTGAAGATATTTCATGTTTCATATGCTACATATTTCAGTATTTCTGGGTGTCCAATTGCCGCTGAGGAAAGGTTAGCATACAAAGGAAAGAGGTCTTTAATGATGAAGACACAATTAAAAAGAGATGGAGGTAAAAATACTCTCTCTCTATATATATATATATATATACATATATACAAACATTCAGAACAATCTTTGATTTAAATTTCTTACGTATAAAACGGAAAGTTGCTTTTAATGTCCAATAAAACTGTTGTATAGTTACGCCTTTATTGATAAATCTTTGATTGAGTGAGTTTGTGTTTCTCTTTTCAACAGTTGTGTTAGAAATTAGCTCAACCCTGATGACCGTTCTAGAAGATTAATGAAAGGGAATTATTTTGAGTAATATATGTATTTTCTTTTTCTTCGTACAAATGTATTGCCACGATACTCGCAAATCAGTATCACAATTCCGTCAAGCTTCATTTACCAATTTAACTGGAAATGTTAATTATGGCGAAATAGTGTAGCTAACTGTACATATAATCAGTTAAAAGTTACTCTTGTAGTACGTAACTTACTTTATTGAGGGCAACCTATAGTTTTAAGGCAGCTCGGAAGTGGAAATCTTATACCTCGTTTATTGTAATATAATGTCCTCAGGGTAAACGTGTTTTATATGTAGTTTTTATTACTTTTTTCCAGGAAGCATTCATGAAGATCCGAAGTATACTCAATTGATTTTTTTTAATATGGAGAAACTTGTATATACAGAGGGTTGAGTACGTTATATTAAAACTAGTTTGAATACGCAAAAAAGCAATCCATAAGACAGGTATCCACTGCCTACGTAACAGCATGTATTAGAACTACATTTTGACATTGTTAAGTAATACGATGCGATCGAAAACTGGTCGCTTTTCCGACTTAAAATATTCGTTCATATATTTAGATTATAAAGATTTAGAATTTCCAAGACGATGATATATCTTGTAGTTGGTGGCTTCAGAAAACGAAGTTATATAGATGAACTTGGTGGAACTGGACCATCGACAAAGAGACCTACAACAAGTCATACTCCAGGCATGGTAACCAAAGTATGGTATCTTATAACAGGTGAGATTTCATGAACAGAAAGGTCAGTGGCAAAAGCTGTCCCCATGTCCCAGACAACAGCGCGCAACATAATCAAAAAGGATCTATGTTTGTTAAAACGTGACAAGTTGTTTCTACAACATAACCATTCAACTGTTACATATATCAAGCTGCTGGAGAATGAATCAAGTATTCATGTTATTCCGTACAGAGATATACTGGTCAAATCGCCGAACATAACACCTGTGGATTTCTATGCTACTGGACTGTTGAAACGAGCAATGGAAAAATCTTTGTCTCCATTTACTAGATGGCTTATAGAAAGAATCAAGCATGAAGAGTTTGTTTGAACATGACAGCGTTATGACGGAGAGTTTTGGAGTGCAGGTCTGTTGCTAAGAGACACGGTATACAGATAGAACATGAACTGTAACAATGTGGTGATGCTCCGAAATCGATTCAATGTAGCGTACTCAACCTCTGCATTATATTTGCCATTAATACTGAAAAGTTATGGTATTATTTAAATGAACAAAAAGGCAATATGCAATGCAAAGTACCTTATTTATATTTTTTATTTATATTCAACGGATACTAAACTAATTACCATTTAGTTTCACTTGGTTTCGTTTTGTGCTGCAATTGACATATTGTTTAGGTGAAAATGAGTGAAGATGTAATTATAAATCCACATTAAACCATTTAATAAGGTTTAATCTATACGTTGATTGTTACTACGGCCAATAATTCTGTTTGCTGATAAAGCAGCAGTTAAAACAACATGATTTGTAAAAAATGTCTCTAAAGCCATAGTTTAAAGTAGACTCGATTCTTTACTGGTTACTACATGATATCTAGTAAACAGTGTAATATACAGACATAATGAAAACGATAAATTTAACAGAACGTTTATCAGAACTTAGCATTTCATTCCATGATTGTTTTCCGTTAAGCATTCCAGATTAACATAAACTCGTTTATATATATTTAGTCTTTATGAATATCAAATATAATGAAAATATTTGTTTGGTATCATACAAAAAAATGTTTGTTTCATCTTAATTAATCAATATAAAAAACTTTCTTGGGTGCTACCTAAAGAAGTAAAATCAATCCCGCTTAGATCACTGTTTCAATGTCAATATGGATATTGTAGTACGTTTTGAGCTGATAGAAATAGGAGAGAAGCTAATATGATTATATATCTTTCTCCCACAGAATTAACTTGTAACTCTTATAATCAGACTGTTTGCTACTCTAAAGACCCAGAGGTTAAGTATGACTTCTACGAAACTGGTTCGTCAGCTTACACAGCAAAAGAACTTGAAATGTATGGTAAGCAGCACAGCAATCTGGGCTTTTACAATAGACAGGGTTGGCTGAGACCGAATTATTTCGACGTGGAAAAAACAGAAGGATCGGTCAAACAAGAAACGGGTTTGAAGTAAGTTTCATATCTTCACATGTAGTGATTTATAGGTTACGGTTGATTAGGCATTCTTATATAGCTTCATGACTTGCCTTCCAACTTGATGTTAAAATCTTAAAAGTTTTTGTTGCGAGCTGTTATACCTAAAACGGCAATCTTCTTATCCTGTTTGGGTCTTCTTTCATTTGGAGTTTTTGAATTTAATACATTATATTTCCTCTTAATTTCGGATCAACAAAGCTAATTAATGCTCACTCAAACAAAATAAATGTCCATATATAGTATATATATATATATATATATATATATAT